CCAGCTTGGGTCCAGTGATTGGTGGTCTACAAATGAATCAACAATAGATAGATTAACAGGAGAAAAGACAATGTTTATTTATGCATGCACAGTGTACATGCAGAAGCACTCAGAGACTAGTAACTCACTGGAATAACCAGAAAGAAAAGGCTTACATACTAAACTTAACAAAAGAGGGGTAGATAGGGCTTCAATGGGAGAGTATGGAAGGTTCTATTTTTTTTTTTTAATTCTAACAAGCAGCTGAATTCACACTTCTGGTGCTAAGTGTCGCTTTTTGTTTTTGTTTTTCCCCAATCAAGTAACTCCCTGGGAGGGAAGTCAATGGTAACTATATTTTCAGAGGTTCTATTTAGATTTAGATAATGTTTCTGTCTGCGGCTGCGATTGTTCAGATATATTCAGCTCAAAGTAATTTTCATATCATTTTGGTAGGCTATTAATCACTTCAACTGCCACACGGTCCTCTCTACCACATTGCATTTTGTTTCTTAAGGACAACAGAACATCTGCTGCTGCCTGTTGTCTCTGTTTGATGGGCTTACCTGCTTAGGTTAGGTCCACTCAGGATAATCTCTCTTTAGTTAACACAAAGCCAACTGATTAGGGACCTTAATTACATCTGAAAAAAAAAACTCTTCCATATACTGGAACATAATCATGAGAATGATATCCCTCATATTTACCATGTTCAAGTGGAGGGGATTATACAGGACATCTATAACAGGGGATGGAAGTTTGGGGAGCCATCCTAGAAGTCTTCCTACCACAGCAAATTATAGGATGAGATGTTAAGTTCAGTACTACAAGAGACCATAAAAATGAGATGATCACACAGATCCCTTACACTGTTGAGTTAATAAAATGGATGCTGCATTCTAGCTGATTAGACTATATGACATCTAAGATCATCCATACCAGAATGCAGAATGGAGTAACTCCTCCATTCAAGAAAACTTTTTAAACCAACTTGATTTCTTTCACTCTTTCTCTTAGCTGATACATAATTTACAAGCATAAAGAGGTGTGTATGAACATTTTAAATTTAATTTCTCTTCATTAACATTTCAAGTTCTTATATTAGGCACTTGGGTTTGTAGACCTCATTAACTCCAAAGGGTTGTTATAGCTTTCATTAGTTAACTATTGCTATGTAACAAATTATCCCCAAACTTAGTCACTTAAAACAACACACAGTTTCTGTGGGTCAGGAGTCTAGGCAAATATTAACTGAATCCTCTGCTTCAAGATCTCTCACAAGGCTGCAGTCAAGATCCCACTGGGGCAGGATGTACTTCCAAGGTTACTCAGTGGCTGTTGAAGGATTCGGATCTTTGAGGGCTGTTGGACTGAGGGGCTCTGTTCCTAACTTGCTGCTGGCTGGAGGCCATCCCAGGTCTTTGTTACATGGACCTCTGCAACACAGCAGTTTGCTTCATCAAAACCAGCAAGAGAAAGAGTAGCATGATGGAAGTCACAGTCTTTTGCAGCATAATCTCAGAAGTGGTATCCCATCATGTTTTTGTTATTTAATTTATTAGAAAAAAGTCACTAGATTGGACCTACACTCAACAGAGAGATGTAAATGTCAGGATGGCAGGGAATGTTAAGGTCTGGCTTAGAAGTATGCCAACTGTCTGAATGAGGGAATGATGTAGCCGACTGAGGAGAAACTAATAAAAGTGGCTGTTTCTAAGAAATGAAAGAAAATAACCTCTTCCATTCCATTCACTTATTCAGAGCCAGAGCAAAGGAACTTGACTGGCCTGGGTTCATAATGGGAGTGGCCAGCTCTTGTCTAAGTAGAGAGGACAAATCAAAGCCAAAATTGAAAGGCTTAAGTTCAGAATCAAAGGAGCAACTTTAAGTATCATGTCCAAGGTACGAGTTTGGGCGGTAGATAAAATAAGAATAAGAGGACAAGAGGACAGGAACACTGAACCAGTGTAGAAGCAAAATATTAGACCAGATAAGGCACACAAGTTGTGGATTTAGAACAAAGAAATAGTGTTTAGCACTGTTTTGCTCATGGGCAGGCTCCCTGATTTTAAAGACACAGGGCTGGGCCAGAGGCTTTCTCTGTTATTGAAAGTCATAAAGTTGTAGTGCTGTATTTTTGTTTTAAGTTCAAACAAATAGAAAGCTTCATGGTTTAGAGGAAATTTTGAAATTTGGGAGGAACTACTATTCCAAATGAAATTAAAAGTCTTGAAAATATTCTTTCTTGGCCAATGTTAGATTATGTATTTTCTCCCAAAATGCATAGATAGTGTTTTATGTTGATTGATAATTTAATTCTCTTCAAATAATATTTGCATCTGGTGAATAATTCTGCTCATCAAGCTTAGAACAAATACTGGTGGGGGTATCAGTGGTTTCTCCTTCTGCGTGTTATCTGTTTTTAATTTTTATTTTTAATGTTACCTTATTTTGGCCTTAATAACAAATTAATATTTCTAGCAACATGTCAAAAACAAGGAGCAACTCATTTCTGAAAGAAGTCTAGTCATATTTAATTCCCTTTCTGTGTGCTTCCAATTATGTCTTCTATTAGATTACAGAAGTAACTAATTACTTTCATTCACCTTTTCTTCACGTGCCTGTAAATTAATTTAAAATTTTATAAATTAACCCTTATTTTGAGGGTTTATTTATTTATTTATACTTATTTTAATCCAATCCTAGATCATTTCATTATAACTCTCTTTTTTTGGTACGCGGGCCTCTCACTGTTTTGGCCTCTCCCGTTGTGGAGCACAGGCTCTGGACGCACAGGCTCAGCGGCCATGGCTCACGGGCCCAGCCGCTCCGCGGCATGTGGGATCCTCCCGGACCGGGGCACGAACCCGTGTCGCCTGCATCGGCAGGAGGACTCTCAACCCCTGCGCCACCAGGGAAGCCCATTATAACTCTTCTTAAACTCACTTTTTTATTTCTTTCTTTAAACATAATCTTGCTGTATATTAAACCATAGTACAGTTTAGTTTCTTCATTTATATTAGCCATTCACTGAACAGCAACTAATAAATCAACATGCAGCAATTTAAATCCCTATTAAAATTTGCCAATGCCAGATCCAAACTGACAGTTTTCCTTATCCAGAAAGTGCTGACATTTTCTTCCCATACCATCTACTAAAGATAAATAGATCAGATAGTTCCAGATGAAAGTAAATGTGGCATTTCTATATTTTGGGGTTACCTTTCATTGTTTGAAAAATTCCAATAATTCTGAGGAATTATCTGTTCCAAGTCTTGAAAGGTTATGATTTACAAGGTATCAAAGTATGTTTCAAACTATTTTTTCTAACAACCCACCATGGTGTCTAATATCCATACTCTTGTAATTACTGTAGTCTGTTTACTGCTAGACATAGATAAATAGATATATCTCTATAGGCATAGAGATATAGATTGACATAGATATGGAATATAGACAAAGATAAATATTGCATCACTAAAAAATTTTGCTTCAAATAGCTTAACAGTTAAAGGCCCTGAGATGATAATAAACTTACAGGGGTGTGTGTGTGTGTGTGTGTGTGTGTGTGTGTGTGCGCGCACGTGCACAAGTACACATCTTGGGTTGGAAGAGTGAAAAATCTAGAAAAAGCTGTACTTCAATGGATGTAAATCAGGAGTGAGCAACAAGGTGTAAGGAAGCCTGAGTAACAGATGGGAAATAATGACATCTGCCTTTTCTAATGTGTGAAAAAGCCAGAATATATTAATTTAATTTTACCAAGAAGTAAAGGAGGCTTTTTTTTTTTTTTCAAAGTCAAAAGAACTTTATTTTGATCTGGTAATCTTACATTTACCTTTAAAAATTATTTAAAAGAACTTTTAAGTGAAGATTCTCTGTAATGTTTCTGAATATTTTTTAAATTTTTTAATGTAATTTAATTTATTTTTTATACAGCAGGTTCTTATTAGTTATCCATTTTATACATATTAGTGTATATATGTCAATCCCAATCTCCCAATTCATCCCACCACCACCACACCCCGCCACTTTCCCCCCTTGGTGTCCATACATTTGCTCTCTACATCTGTGTCTCTAAAATTAAAATGAAATAATTTTCCTTTATTGTGTCCAATGATATTTTAAATGGCACTCTGTACTTACAGGCAAATCATACACATGTTCATTGCTACATTTCTGGAGGTTTGATATTTGTAACTGCCAAAAATAAATAATTAAATAAGTTCCCCCTAGGAAGAAATTCTTCTAAATTTGGAAGCAACTCCAAAGAGAGCATTCACTGTAGACAGGAAATATCTGTGAAGAAAATAGTCTACTAGTTAATTTTTAAATACCGTCAGTTGTGTTAATTTGCAAGAAAAAAAAATTGTTTATTCAATATGTAAAAAGTACCTGACTTCATCTACATTCACAATTGCCCAAATGTAGGTCAAGAATGATGTTAAAATATCAGAAATTGTACCGTCCTCTTGCCTTATTTCTCCTCTCCTTTATTCCCGTGACCTCTTGTGCTTTCCAAAGTGCAGGAAGTAACACTGATCATCTACCTGTGAAAAGGTCTTCTTTATTCATTGAAACAAGCCCTCTAGGCTTACAATCAACCCAAAATAGAGGGAAAGGGCAAGATTGTAGACAAAGTATTTGGGAACTGGTGAGTTCCTATAAATTGTACTTTATGAATGGTCACTTATGCCACCTATATGGAAAACCAACCCTAATGAATATATTAAATTCTTGGTTTACAGAAGTAGAAGATGATCTTTTGAATTTTAAAAATTGATTAGTTGGGATTTTTTTTCTTATCATTTTACAAACCATTTGGTCAGTTGAAGTCCTCCATGTACTACACTAGGTTATAAAAAAAGACCCTTCTAAGACATTCGAATGTACTAGGTAAATATTCCTTAGTATTTCCTTTGGCTCATTTGAGGGAGAGATATGGACATGGCAAGAGGGAAAGAAGTTGGGAAGGACAAAGGACTGAAATGTAACCACATTGTGCCTTGTTATTCTTCTAGGATCTCATGATTCCTTCAGCTTCTACATTGATGAAGCCTCTCCAGTGGGGCCTGAACAGCCAGAAACTGTCCAGAATTTTGTCTCTGTGTTTGGAACTGTGGCGAAAAAGCTGATGCGGAAATGGCTAGCCACTCAAACCATGAACTTTACTGGTCAGCTAGGAGCTGGGATCCGTTATTTTGATCTTCGAATTTCCACCAAGCCTAGAGACCCCGACAATGAACTCTACTTTGCTCATGGTTTGTTCAGTGCCAAAGTCAATGAAGGCCTTGAGGAGATCAATGCATTCCTCACAGATCACCATAAGGAGGTAGTATTCTTGGACTTCAACCACTTTTATGGGATGCAGAAGTATCACCATGAAAAACTCGTCCAAATGCTGAAAGACATCTATGGAAATAAAATGTGCCCAGCGATTTTTGCCCAGGAAGTGAGTCTAAAGTACCTGTGGGAGAAGGACTACCAAGTGCTCGTCTTCTACCACAGTCCAGTGGCTCTGGAAGTACCCTTTCTCTGGCCTGGGCAGATGATGCCAGCACCTTGGGCCAACACCACAGACCCGGAAAAACTGATCCAGTTTCTTCAGGCATCCATCACGGAGAGAAGGAAGAAGGGATCATTTTTTATATCTCAGGTGGTGCTGACCCCCAAAGCTAGCACCGTGGTCAAAGGGGTGGCCAGTGGTCTCAGAGAAACAATCACAGAAAGGTAAGTGTCCTTAAGTTATCAGGGGAAATTTTTAAATAATTAAACTCAAATTCAAATAGTTAATTAGTGATGGAGTTAATTCACACCCATGTGAGTTAGTTTCCTAGGGCTGCCACAACAAAGTATCACAGGCTGCTGGGTAGCTTAAAAACAAAAGAAATTTACCATCCTTCAGTTCCAGAAGCTAGAAGTCTGAAATCAAGGTGTCAGCAGGGCTGGCTCCTTCTGAGAGCTTTGAAGGAGAATCTTTTCCATGCCTCTGCATTAACTTCTGGCGATGGTTGGCATCCATTGTGGTTCTTAGCTTACAGATGCATCACTCCAGTCTCTGCACCCACATTTACATGGCATTCTTCCCCGCTTCTCTGTCTTCTCTTCTTATAATGACTAGTCATATTGGATTAGGGCCCACCCTAGTGACCTCATCTTAATTTAATTACATCTGCAAATGCCCTATTTCTAAATAAGGTCACACTTACAGGTACTGGGGATTAGGACTTGAATATGTCATTTTGTAGGACACAGGTCAACCCACAGCACCATGGTTTTTGTTTGTTTGTGTTTGTTTTTGTTTCGTTTTTACCACACCATGCAGCTTGCGGGATCTTAGTTTCCCAACCAGGGGTCGAACCTGGGCCCCCTGCAGTGGAAGCACAGATGGAGTCCTAACCACTGGACTGCCAGGGAATCCCTGCACCATGCATTTTGACCCCATGTCCAGTTATCTTTTCATAGCACTCCTTTTCACATTTGCATAGCATTTTATAGATTACAAAGCCCTTTCTCTACTTTTTCAGAGTATTTTCACATACTTGATTCCATTTGATCTGCATAACAATCCTGGGAAGTAGATACTGTATAACAGATAAAAATTAAAGTTCAGAGAAGTGAAATGTTTTGCCTAAAGCCACTTGGACAATGAATGATGAAACAAAGACTCAAGCACCATTTTTCTCAAGCTGTATTCTATGCCTTTACACTACATTGTTAGCAAGAATCAATCGTTAGCAAGAATCAATCTCCAGAGAGTAGGCATTCCATTGGTCAAGCCCAGACATACATATAGTCACCTGTGAGGTGTAATTAGCAATCACCAAAGATCTTTGTAACTCATTCCCCTGATACAACATGTAGCATTGTACATATTATTTATTCTTTTGAGTTAAAGTATTAAACAAGGCAAACATTGAAGAACAAACACAATTCCTATCACACCTTTTATTTTTAACTTTAACTGATATTTTGAATTACGGTAAAGAGGCAGAGAATGAATGTTTTGCACAAGGTCTTGTAGGGAAAGACAAGAAAAGGAGGAGAAAAGATTCAGAGGTGAAAATGCTGTGGGTGGCCTTTAGAGGTGAAAATGCTATATGGTGGAGAATGGCAGATGAAATTTGTAGTGGGGCAGGAACACATTTGCAAGAAGGCTAAAAGCCTTCTTGCACAGTCTAGAGGACATAGTTAATGAATTGTACAACTTAAAGTGATGAGAGATTAAATTATAATGAATCTAAATTTTACCATATTAAATATAATAAATCATAACATATAAAAGAGAAAAAGATGTCACCATCACAGGTGAGGTGGAGGAGGGCTCTGGGGTTGTAGCCGGCACTGGTCAGAGCTTAGGAACTGGCACTGAGGACGGCTAAAAGCCAGGCTACAGGGAACGTCATCCTATGAGCAATGGGGAGCTAGCAAATGATATTTAGTGGTGGAGTGACTTGACCAGATGTGAATTTTGGGTAGATAATTGGTGGAGCATGGAGGGTAGATGGAGTGAAGAAAGTAAGCAGTTAAGAGGTGCTTGGAACCGTTTTAGCAAGGATATGCAAACTAAACTGAAGAAGGGAGAAAATGTAGAAGGGGACAGTATGCGACAGCAAAAGTTGGATGACTATTTAGCTATGTGGTGTGAATGAAAGAAAAGAGGGGAGAATAAAGTTTCTTCTTGAGAAGTAGAATGAGTGATGGGTGCATTCAAAGAAGCAAGAAACAAAGATACAGGGACTTGGGGCGGACAGGGAGAAGATACAATCAGGATTATGCTAAATTTAAAGTGCTAGAAAGGCATCCAAGTAGATCCAGTTGATCATTAGGAATATAGGTTAACTCGTTTGGGGGATACTGCATTTTTTGGCAATGAAAGCCACAGGTCCTTGGAGAGGAAGTATTCCTCCATGCAAAAGTGTAACGTCCTTCTGTTATTCAGGTATTTGCTGGGATCTCCCTGTTCTTTCAATTGAAGTAAGATCCCCAGCCCTTACTGGGGAACCTCATTGTATGCTCTATGCAAGTGTAAAGCCTTCCCTAAGATTTCTGCTGATGTCTAGATTTCTTACATTCTTGTGGAACGAGCCCTTGTTGCTTCTGGATTACGTAATTTTATGGATTGATTTTTCCATGTGGCCTATCCACGTCCCACCCTCTATAACCTGAGACATGAAACTTGCTTCTTGCTCAATTTCTATATAGTGGTTTATTTGGACTTTACTGAAGATCTGAGCATAAAAGGGAGGTTTTATAATCATAATAATGTAGATGCCTTAAAGTTGAATTTTAGACTCATCTGGAATTACAAATCTCCTGACCTGGAATATCTTCTGAGACATCTGTACCACTTTTCACCCTAGACTCTAGTCCTCTGACTGAATCCTCTCCTCCACCCGCTTCCTGTCCTTTCCTCATCTGTTTTCTTCCCCCAACCCCATATTGCGGTGGAGACGCTACACTCTCCTCTAGATTATTGCACCAAACTATTCACCTCTCTCCCTGGCCCTAAGCCTACATTCAGTTAGTCCCATCAATGTATTCATCAGAACAAGAAGACTTTTTCTTTAATAGAACCACTTTCTATAAAAATTAATTGTTCTCATAAATAACAACTTACCTTACATACTTAAAAATAAGGGAATTATATACACGTAAGAATGTGTTGTTTCCAAACCTACCCCATAGAGCCTCCAGATTTTGAGGAATCCCCAGTAGAGGTGGGAAGGGGACAGGAGGGGTCTGGGGAATGGCTGACTCTAATTCTGTTCATTGTTGCTACACCTTTAATTTAAAAAGCTTTACTTCGAACATTTACATATTGGGCATGAAAGGAGTCTTCCCTTCCAGCTTTACCTTCTGTTGTATAGTTCTATGCTTAGTTCTATGTTGTATAGTTCTAAACACTTTTCTGTACCATTTGCCTACTTTGCATTTGGCCAAGAACCATATCCTGACTCCATACCTGTGTAGGGAATAGCCTTTGGGAAGTCAAGAAGGAAAATCTACTCAAGGAATAAATGACTTTCATTTTTCTCTCTTATGCAATTTCATGCAATAGGACTTTGCAAGTTATACGTTGAACTGCTTTTTGGTTACTTATGCTTTAGTACAGCATTACCAAAGTAGGATTTGTAGAATAACGATCAGATAATTTAGGAGAGAGTTGAAAATGATAATATATATCTACACAACTCTCCCAAAAGATTCACAATGCACATTAGCATATAAAAGGCACTAACAAGTATTTAAGTGAAGAATCCTATTTAATTATAACTAATACAATGTTTTCCAAGCACTTGATTTTTTTTTTCAGATAACACTTATTAACAGCCCATGGAATTAATTTTGACAAAATGTCCTCAGCCATCTGCTCTAATTCAGATCCTTTCACTTGCCTCTGGCTTATATATCTGGAAAAGTAGAGTTTTACCAGTGAAAAGAGAGAGTGGGAAAAGAATTTAAAAAGTAGAAATGAAGACCCTATAGGTAGAGTCAACTATTTCCTCTCTAGGATTATGCAAATGACTTGCAAATATATCTGAACCTGGCCATGATACTTGTGCTATAAGCATTCTCAATGGAGTTTGTCTCAGTACTAGAAAGCCCCTTTTTAAACCAGTTACAAAATGTGTATTCTGTGTATGGTGTTAATGTGAAATCCAGAGGTTTGGTTTGGTTTGGTTTGGACATATTTCAGCTTTCTGGGTGAGGCCTATAGGGAAAGGTCATTGTCAATCCTTGGATAATGCCTTGCAAAGGTAACTTATTACTCCTGATACAGGTAGTGAAAAAACACTTGACTCCCCCAAAATATATTTTTCTCTTCTCACCAAGTGATAAAGCCCACAAAAAAGACTTTTACTGTCACTTTCCTTTTGCTGTTGTGCCAAAGCTGCTCACTGAGAAAGTCCTTTGCCACCAAAGGAGAAGTCACTAGGCAATGTTAAGACTTCTCTGGACCTTTAGTATATTTTCATTTGCAAAATTTGGAGTTTGAATTCAATTATCTCCAAGATCCTTTCCAGTTCTAAAATCCTACAATCCTGGATTTGACTAGTTTCACTATAATTTTTCATTATGTCTATATTTGGGTTAACAAAACTCTAAGCACATGAATTTAGAAAACAGTGTTTGAAGATGCGGGTGGCTTTCAGGGAACTAAATCCAGCCTGGATTTAGGTACCGTAACTTTCAATCTGGCCACCGGTTCTAAATACTGCAGATGCGTTCTCTACATTTTAGCAATGCCAAAAGACACAGATTTTAGTTTCTTAAAGACCTATTTTTAATTTATTTTTCAAACACCAGCTTTTGCACCTCACCCCCACGGAATTCACACGTTCTTAAAAAGAAGGTGTGTAACTTGAGTCAAGTCCTTCCCTAATTTGTGGAAGTTTATTAAATTATAGGTTTTTTTAGTTAAAAAAAATTCAGCTAGACCACCTGTCAGGATATTTAAGGAGCAGTGCATCTTTGTAAGTGAATTGAAGCCAAATTAATTTAGAAAATGTTTATACAAGTCAGCAATTTATCTCATGATGATGATGACAATGGTAATAGTAAAATGATGATTTATTAAGTGCTCTCTTTTTAATACTATGCTAACTGCCCTGCCCATTTATTCTCATGGTCACAGTCATTGCCTTGAGGGTAAGGAAGAAGGATGTGGTTGGTTTTTAATAAGCACCTTTTATCCAACTGGGGAAAGGGAGGCAACTACATTTGTT